CTGTGTGACCTTGAGCAAAACATTTTCCTTTTCTGAATCTTGATTTCTTTTTCTGCAAAATGGAGGTGAGAATGAGCGCCTCACGGGGCTGCAGTGAGAACTAAAGGGCAGCGTGTAAGGGACACCAGACACGGGAGGTTATCAGCCTTGTCAGAGGTAACCCCTCCCCTAAGGCCCATAAGAGGAGGAGCCCTACGAGACCCGACTCCGCAGCACCCTAACCCTGTCACCTGGTCACTCATCACCAGCCTTGCCCAGGAAAACCACCACAGCGACAAGCTTTTGGCTCTGTCCCTATGGCTTCAGTCCAGCTCTGTTTCTCCTGCTCTATACTTTTTTTTTTCTTTTGGTAGCAGGGATTGAACTCAGGGGCACTTACCACTGAGCCCCATCCCCAGCCCTTTTTATATTTTATTTAGAGACAGGGTCTCACTGAGTTGCTTAGGGCCTCACTAAATTGCTGAGGCTGGATTTGAACTCACAATCCTCCTGCCTCAGCCCCCCAAGCCTGGCTTCTGCATCTTCTTTCTCTGCTAGCTCCTCTGTGTACAGAACTCCTCTGCTTCTTCCCTCCCCTTCGATTCACAGGAAACAGTACCCAGGGGAGGACTTTCCTCCAGGGCTCTTTTTCTTGGGATCATTTGATTCCCATCCCACAGAGTACCTCAGAGCCTTAGACTTTGGCTGCCACCTAAATGTCTCCTAGGGTGCAGAGTCACAGTGACTGCTGTGGTTTTAGACTGCCTGTGTTACTATGTCATGTCTCTGAGCCTCAGTGTTCTCATCTGGCTAATGGGAATAGTAATAAGACCTCTTTCCTAGGATTGTATGTAAGTTTAAGTGAGATGATCCGCAGAAAGCACTAATTAAGTAGGTCGTTCATGTTAACTCATTGTTACTGCTGTCTCTGGGTGCGGGAGGCCATGACTGTAGGAATCTCTGCTCCTTGCCCTGCAGCCCCTGTCTGAGCAGAAACCTCCCTGTCTGAGCAGGACCTCAAACCCTTGCTCCAAAGGCAGCCTGTAAGGCCTTCAGTGAGCTGGAAATTTATCTCCTTCTTTATTGTGTGTGTGTGTGTGTGTGTGTGTGTGTGTGTGTGTGTGTGTACTGGGGATTCAACATGGGGCCTCACACAGGCTAGGCAAGCACTCTGCCAGTGAGCCACATCCCCAGCCCATTTTTAAAATATTTCATTGTGTCTGGATGCCATGGCACATGCCTGTAATCCCAGAGACTCTGGAGGCTTAGTCAGGAGAATCTCAGGTTCAAAGCCAGCCTCAGAACTAAGCCAGATCCTGTCTCAAAATAGAAAATAAAAAGAACTGGGGACGTGCCTCTCAGTGATAAAGCACCCTGAGTTCAATCCCCAGTACTGAAAAGAGATTTTATTGTGAGACAGAGTTTGGCTAAGTTGCCCAGGCTGGCCTTGAACTCGCCAAGACTTTTGCATCAGTCTCCTGAGTAGCTGGAATCGAAAGTGTGCACTACCGTGCCTGTCTTATATCCTTCCTTTTCCCTCCCCCACCTCTGATTCCTTCAGAGTGAACAGGTTGCCTTTGGAAGCTCTGACTGGGGTTTGGTGGGGAGCCAGGCCTGTGGCCGTGGAGGGAGGCAATTTGTTAGTCACAGCAGAGAAGGATCAGCTGACCAAGGGAAGAAGAGACTGTTACTTCAGCTACAGGTTCCTGAGTCAGCTGGCACGACTCAGGGGATTGGCACTGCCCCTACTGTGTGATCACAGACATGTGCACGTGTAATGCATGTACTCTACACATACATGCACACGTGTGCACACGCCACTGTTTTCCCCTGCTCTTCCTTCTCTGCCAGCTCCCTGCATACACATCTCCTCCGCTTCTCCCCTCCCATTGATTCACAGGAAACGGTGCCCAGGGGCGGACTTTCCTCCCGGGCTCTTTCTCTTTAAGTTTGCTTGGGTCTTGCTAAGTCTCTTTTAAGCAGGGCAGTACGTGGGGGGACTTTTAAGAATCTGGTTCCAGGCTTTGGTCCTGGGAAAGGAGCCTCGCTTCCTTCCGTCTCCTGCCTGCTGTCTCCGTTTGTCCCTTCTCTACCATCGAAGGGAAGCTTCCAGAAGCCAAGGAGGATGGGATTCTCTTGCTGATCCTAAGTTCTT